AGAATGCATATGTTCTGTACACTACTCTTCATCACTACAAAGCTATTTTTAGAACATATATTTTAGCTCCTGTCTTTCATGTACCAGGTCTGAGAAATAAGCAGACACATATAATTCTGCTTCACAGAAAGAAGAAGCAATTTAGCATTTGTTAAGCTGAACAACTCTCCAAGCAGCTTGTCAACATCCCCGCTTGATGTACTCAAGCATTTGATTTTGTTCTCTTTTTAACGTTTGTGACTAATACAAGGAGGAAATATGTCCAAGCAACATAAAAATCCATCAAAAGCTTCTCAGAAATTTTAAGATTAAATACCACAGTCCATGGAAAATCAGATTAGGCAAAATCAGAGTGATCACTTTTGCATTATGAACCACACAAAATACTTTTAGATTAAAACAAAGAAAAAAAAAGATAAAAAATTTGGTTGTCTTCAACACTCAAAAAAGACTGAATTAAATACTGTACTCCTTACTTAGGATATTATGATTTCTAGCTTTGAAACCCACAGCACTTCACCTGACAGATCCACTACAGCTTCATGACTAGTGACAGCTCCCTTTTCAATGAAGAGCTCTCGGAAGTACTCGCTGTTGGCTGCCAAGACAGATTTGTGAGCTTTGTACTCCTCTCCTTCAATCAGCAAAGTCACATCACAGAACTGATTGGAAAGCCTCTGCTGATTCAGTTGGTTTAAGACTGACAGACAATGTTTGGAAGATGACTGCTTCACAAGGCCCTTACTGTCAACCTGTCATAAACAACATTTGAGAACTTCATTACATTTAGATTGTGCCTTTTTAAGCATTCATATTGAAACACAGAAAAGGATTATCTTCTGCAACCATACAATCAGTTCAAGCCTGTAGAATATAGAGCTTAACTGTACTACTGTTTTCTTTCTTTAAGTTTCACCCTCCCTCCAAACACAATTAAACAGACTGGAAAAATGGCAAGACACATTCAAACAGCTCTTTGTATTTTTCTACGCTACAGTCTGAAAAAGTTTCTAAATTCAAATGGCTTTATGTGCATGTGAGCCTGCAGTTATGAACAAGAATTTTATATATCAGTATAGCATCATTAAGGAAAAGATACAGAGCCCTTAAGAATCTTATATGTGATGGCAATTGTAAGCAATGGCAATTCTGCCATTCATTTTACCTTAGATTCTATATGCATAATATATAGCATGACTTTATTTCCCAGCAATGATGTCCTATAATTAATTTCATGACATATACACCAGTATCCCATTTCTACACATTCAATATCTTTGACAAAATTTATAGTCTTATTGTTACAAGATTATCACAACAATGGAAAAGAAGTACATGACCAAGAATGCAGTAATAGAAAATGCAAATCCATTCAGATGTAAACAATGTTACTTACAAACACAAGCTCGTGCTTTGCTATTGGTTTCTTCTTCACAGACTTTGGGGATGCTGCTGGGATTGATGGTGTGTTACTCAATTCATCATCTGTTTCATTACTGTCTTCATGAGATTTTGCATCCAGTCCTAGTTCCTCCAGCATTTCAGAAGGATCTGAGAGAGATCTAGAGCGATCTAACTTTTCCTGGCACTTGCTGCATTCTTTAATGTAATCTTTAACCTGCTTAAGAATACCTAAGAAAAATTAATGGAGCTTGATTAGGCTTCTAATCTTAATTCAATTTACAATAAACAAATAGCTGTGCAGAAGATTAGCAAAACATCGATAATTAATAATCAAAAATATTACATACTAACCAAGAGAAATAAAGTCAGTCACCTACACTCTCCCTCTCTGATGCAACATTACCAATTCTGATTCTCTCACACCATTGCATGACATTGTATGTTTCTACTGCTCATTTGAGATAGAACATTTAGAATGTCACTACATCACTACTCCTAGAAAGATTATTAAGGCTGAAAAAAAAAGGTATTTAGACATTTAGTCTCATCATCCCAAGGTAATGACAAATGTACAGAACATTTAGAATGTCACTACATCAAGCAAACCCTCCTAGAAAGATTATTAAGGCTAAAAAAAAAAGGTATTTAGACATTTAGTCTCATCATCCCAAGGTAATGACAAATGTAATATAATTCTGTATATAGCCCACACAAATGGCTTGTTCCTCCTGAAGAGGACAAGAATTGGAATGCTCACTTATGAGCTTTTGAAAACTGGGATCAACTGTGCTATATGCAATGACACTGACAGGTACTATTAACACTGATTTAAATAAATTGCTTATGATTTTGGAATTTAAATAAATCAATTTCCCACCAGTACTTCAACCAGTGGAACCAAATATAAATGACAGGACCTGAGGAAATAGCCTGAATTTGTGTCAGGGGAGGTTTAGACAGGATTTAGGAACAGGTTCTTCACCCAGAGGGTGGCTGGGCCCTGGAACAGGCTCCCCAAGGAAGCAGTCACAGCACCAAGCCTGACAGAACTCAAGAAGTGTTTGGACACGGCTCTCAGGAATGACTCTTGTGACTTTTGGGGATGGTCCTGTGCAAGGCCAGGAGTTGTATTCAGTGATCCTTGTGGGTCCTTTCCAACTCGGCACATTCTGCAATTCTGTAAATAATTCCAGATACTCAACAGATCCTAAGTGCAGGGTCCTTTTCTGGATCCCATGGCATTTTCCATGCATTGCTTTCAATCCAAATTTGTTCTCTTCACTAGGACAATATAAAAGCATATACAGCAGCTGGGCCTCTATGGTTTAAAAACCAGCACAGCTCAAAAGCTTTGCTGACAGACTTAGACTTGCTTGCTCACATCTCCTCAGAGCATGACTTGCACGATCATTAAATACCTATCTCTGCAAGGATCAGGAAAACTGCAACTTAAGGCAACCTAAGATATTAATGCCCATTTCAACAGCTTGTACATCTCCTTGATTTCATCTGAGATAGACAGGAGGTCTCTGGCCTGCAAATCACATTCCTAACACCCTTCCTGGCCCCTGAGCCCATGGCCTTGCAGTTGCAGAACACACACCAGGCTGAAGTCCATCTCAGGATGACAGCTGGGCCAAAGCTGCTGTCCATAGCAGCCAGAGAGTACTGCAATGGCAGGGAAAACATTGTTTTAAGGGAGACACATGTAAGAAACATAAAACTTGAACTGAAAGCATGGAATGAATTTTAATATTCTCAGCGTAAGAGAAGCAAGAGGATTTAGGGTGTGCAAATAAAGGTGACCAATAAGATCAACAGAATACAGAATGCCTTCTCCTGACAAATAGAAGCTACACTGAGACCCGTGGAGGAAGCTTCCAGCACAGGATGAGAGCAGATGCCAGAACAGTACAATGCTGGGCAGACAATGAGAATGCAGATAAAGGCAAGGAAACCACCATCCAGAATAGGTATATCAGCTTTGAGATGCCACATCTCTTCTTGACATGAAGAGATCTTCAATTCAATGAGATCTGGACTGGAGGAACTGGCTGCAGCTAGAGCAAAAGCCCTCCAACTGAAAATAGGGAAAACTAAAGCTGAAATTACAGACTTGCTGATGAATGAAGAGAGCAGAACAAGAGAAGCAATACAGACACACACTGGGCCTGTGGCAAGTTAAAAGCAGGCTATTTTTTTAATGGATACCTAGGGCTAAAAGTACAACACCAAATCCAAAGGGAACAAGATATCAAGTCATTCCCTCAGGCAAAAGAAAGTCCCAAATGGGAATGATTGGTGTTCAGGCACCACCATCTGTAACAGCTGCAGCACCACTCAGAGCCCAGCTGAGAATTAGTCTGGTCTTTTCAGCTTCTCATTGCAAGAAGGAGACAAGTAAAACAACGAGTGCCAGGACTGCCACCACCGGCAGCTGTAGTACTTTAACATGGACACCACCACATGCATGAATGAGGTCCAAAGCTAACCCAGGTCATGTGGACTGGATCATCACCCTATCCCAAGGGCACAGTTGAGATGTCACTGCCTTACCTGGGCTGTGTGCAAGACCTGGAGGGGACAGCTGTACTCTGTGCTGCCATATATTAAGGTACCACCACCAGATGACAAGCCTCGGACAATTTCCTGACCAAGACGTAGTGCACAGAGCGAGCCCTGCCTCTCGGGGTGTGACACGATGTCACTGCCCACACACCACGTGCTGCGAGGTGGCGTTTAAAGGCACTGGTCACGCCGCAAAGTGACAGTCCCCTCCTGCTCCCGCCAGGGAGGCCACGCGGACATCCCTTCAGCAGAAGGATGGGACAACTCCTGGAGCGGGTGCAGCAGGGCAACAAAGACGATTAAGGGACTGAATAACCTCTTTTACAAGGAAAGGCTGAAGGAACTGTGGGACCGCACTAATGTGTATAAATATCTAAACAGACGGCGTCAGGAGCACGGAGTAAGGGCCCGGAGGTGCCAAGAGAATAAACTAATACACGGGAAGTTCCACGTGAACACGAGGAAACATTGTAAAGCTGCCTGTGCCCTGGCACAGGCTGCGAGTCTCCATCAGCGGAGGTGCTAAAGAACCCTCTGGAGGCGGTCCCGTGCCCTGCGCTCGGGGGTGACCCCGGGGACCCGCGGCGCTCACCTCTCCACCAGTACTTCTGCGAGAGCCCCTGCCAGGTCTGCAGCCGGGTGCGGTGCGCGCCGTCGGGCGCCAGGTGCGCGGCGCGGATGAGGCGGGCGCGGCGCTCGGCCTGCAGCACCACCTCCAGCTCGGCGAAGCGCTGCTGGTCGCGCTGCCGCCGCTGGTAGTACAGCGTGCCGCCGCGCACCACGTAGCAGGCGGCGGCCTTGCGGATCTTCCGCTTGGCGTTGCCCTCCGTGCCCGGCGCGTACGGCTCCCGCTCGTTCGTCAGGTACCGCAGGATGGCCAGGTAGCTCTCCTCGCTGGACATCGCGCGGCGGGGGGGGGCGCGGGAGACGCCCCCGCGCCCGAGCTGCGGAGGAGCCTCCCGGGATGAGGGAAGCGGGATCGGGATCGGCCCCGGCCCGGCGGGAGCCGCGCCCGGGGGGGAACTGGAATGTCGCGGCCCGCGGCGGCGGGAGGGAGGGAGAAGCTCGGGCAGCAGCGGCGGCGGAAAGACAAAATGGCTGCTGCACAAGCGGAAGTGAGGTGGGGCCGCGCGCGCGCAGGAGGGGCCGGGAAGGGGCGGGGGCGCGGCGGAGCGGGCCCGCCATGCTGGAAGCGGGCAGGGCAGAGGCCGGAGCCGCCATGCTGGAGCCGGGCAAAGCCGGCGGCGGGAGCCGGGGACGCTCCCGGGGCAATCCCGGTGCGGTGCCGGCTCCGAAACCGTAGCGGCTTCCGCTCCAGAGCTGCCTCGGGAGCAAGAGCTGCGAGGGGAGGAGCAGGGCCATTCGCGCCGAGCGGGAGCAGCACCGGCGCGGGCGGGGCTGTTTTGTTTGCAAGAGGCAAGAAAGAAAATCCATCAGACGTGAACCGCGCCTTTTACTTGTCCCAGCTCTGCGCTGGCTTTTCCACCTGTAGCACGCGAGGCAGGAGCCGGGGCTGTGGCGCCCAGGGAAAGCGCAGCAGCAGCAGCGACCCTTCCTTTCCTTCCCCTGCGCTGGTACCTGCGGGACGCGCCTGGAGCGGGCATCCCCAAACACTGAGGGAGCAGCACCGCCCAAAGGCGCTATTTGTACGGAAAAGGGTTCTGTGTTTGGGTTTTCGGCTTATTTCAACAATGGCAGTGGTGGAATACTGCAACAAGTGGCCCTGGGAGGTTGTGGAATCTGTGTCCTTGGAGTTGTGTTCATTACTCGGCTGGATACTGAGCAATCTCATCTAAACAAACACATTTGGATGTCCTCTGGACCTCCTTTTTAACCCAAATTATTTTGTGGGTCTGTGACAAACGTAGGTACTCAATTTCTTCTGACAAATACTTGATAGAGGATCGATTACATTAGTTAAACAGAAGGGCTTATATTATTCATTCTATTACATCTGTGTTTGAGATGAATAAAGTGCTGTTACACCAGGATAAGGCCCTGCTCTGAACAGCCTGTCTCACCCAGTGCATAGCTTGTAAGAGGAGTAACCTGATGTAATTCTTTACTTCTTCTCTCCATATCAGTCAGAACTCAGGAATAAACATCAAGGAAGAGCAATCGTGAAGCACTTCTGTGCACCACTGCAGTGACACCAGGCAGCCAAAGCCTGCAGACTTCAAAGCATTAACAAATAATAACTTATTAATTAGTCATATCTGCCAATCAGTTTCTATATATATCGTTAGTGGTATTTCAAGAAGATGGTAAAAGCTCATCTTTATTTTCAGCTTCCTAGCTGAAAACATTCACAAGGACACATTTGGGGTACCAGGTACCTTGTGCAAGACACTGGTGTGATTTGTATAATCTCCACTTGCACGCGTAATATTTAGAGGTGTTTTCAGCCTTCAGTTTTAAACTATTAAAAATTCCCTTCCCGGCTAACTACAGGCAATTTTTCTTCCTCTCTTTTCCCCTCCAGTTTCTGGCTTCCTTTCAAATATGTTAACCAGTTTAAAAGCCTTGAATTTCTTTCTAAACATGAGCAGCACTGGGGCTTTTTTTGTTTGTTTTTTTAATAGCAAAAAGCAGAATTGTTTGGAAGATCATGGTGCAAATTCAATTAATATCAAGCTAGACCTTTTTTAAATGGGTTGTAGCCTTCATCCAGACCCATACATATTTTACTAAAATTCAGGAAAGTTCTAAGTGTAGCCCATAACCCACAGTGCCCATTACAGCCACTGAAGCCCAGTGGGACTGCAGGAAGTTAAAACACAGCTGTCTTCTTGACTGGTGTAAGATAACAAATCAAGTCCTCAAACTATCAACAGAAAAGCAACTGATCCAGAAAATAGTGAAGGTTTGGTTTCTGTTTTGGTTCTGGTAAATGAGGACATTGCTTTGCCAAGGCTGTTGCTGTCCACCAAAATTGGCAAAGTCTGGGCACGCTGTCTGCACAGTGCAGTTACTCAGGCAGACAGAGGAACTCCCATGAGGAATTTCAATCCCTCTAGCGGTGGGAGGGTGGAAAATTACTAAGGGAACCCCTATCTGCATTCAACAAGTTAAATATGAACCTAAACGAGCTTTAACTGTGTAACACCAGCTGCATTTGAAACCCATTCAATATTCACAGGCTTCCTTTTCCTGACAACAGCTTCCAGCAGTTCAGTTTTGTAACTTCCTGACCCAGAAATTGCATCTGAATCTTTGTGTTTAAGAGCCATGCAGTCTGTGAAATCATCCATTCCTTTTAACCTTCTCCATATTTGATTCTCTGTATCTTCCTACACACATTCCACAACACAGGACCTTTGTATGTAATTTACAGATTATATTGCTCCACATCCCCTTTTAGCGTGTATGTATCTCTGATCTTATAAACCTCTTTTCATGTCATTTATGTCATTTGTTACAGATGCAGAATAAACTTAGGGCTGTTTTTTCCTTCCCCCCTTTTACCGTGTATGTATCTCTGATCTTAGAAACCTCTTTTTATGTCATTTGTTACAGATGCAGAATAAACTTAGGGCTGTTTTTTCCTTCAGGCAAGAAGGCTCCTCAAATACCAGCTCCATCTTGCCTGCTACCTGAGCCACTCAGTGAAGACTGGGGAAGCATGTGCTAATGCAGCAGACTGTCTAAGAAACCAAGTGTTTTATGGCAGGAAGATGCTTTTCAGTCTGCAAAACCCAGACATGGTCATTTCACAGATTCATTCCCTTCAGTGTATCTCGCACAGCTGAGCAGACCATGGCACAAGTAACGTAATTCCATCAGATGTTTATTCAGCACGACCAACAGTTTGGCAAGTTAGCGCTTTCCACCAACACGGGGAGCAGAAACCTTGACTGGTTTCACAATCTTCTGCTTAGGTGCTGCCTTCGTAGGGGCCTGTAGAGAAATAATGAAGTATGAGTGAAAAGAAGCTATTCATCTGCAGTTCTAAAAGTATCCCTGTATGTACTCTTGACAGAAATCAGATCAGACTAGAACTGCAAACTGTAATACTGGGATCATGTTATCATTTGTTTACACACATAGCACTAAGCCAACATAAGGAATTAATTCAGAAGTGTTAATGAAACACATGGTAGCACTCATCAATATATTGTTACCAAGTTCCTAGACAGTGAAGATGTCACAGTCAAACAAATTTATCTATTAATTATTTCTGACATTAGGTCACAGAATTGATTTCCTGTAATATTTACTTATTCTGTAAAAAAGATTCATTCTATGCAGTAGTGAAGATGTCACATTCAAACAAGTTTTTATCTATTAATTATTTCTGATATTAGGTCAGAGAATCGATTTCCTGTAATATTTACTTATTCTGTAAAAAAGATTCATTCTATGCAGCTGTTTGGGTATGCTTAACTTTAGTACAGAAGTTCAGTCAAGGAGCTTTCACATCAGAAAGTCACAAAAATGCTTCCTCAAAACATAAACAGGAATTTCCAATTAATTGTGTGTCATGTTGCAACATGGTGTATTCCATTTTATAATTTCTATTTGCCTATTACATCTCACCTTTGCAGCAGAAACAGCCGTTTTCTTGGTTGCCTGCTTTGCCTTCTTGGCTTCCTTTGCAGCCCTGTTAATTCATAGAAAAAGTGGAAGTTATCCATGTCTGCCATTCACTGTTTCCTTGTATCAGCTATCAGCACTGTAAGAGCTTCCCAGGATCAGGAATGGAATGCATTACTGCAGATTTCTCCTCGATATTCACTATGCCCTGAAGGAATCTCTACAGAGACAGCGGAACTGTGAGTGACAAAGGTGCAAAGGGAAAAGGCAAGGAGAAATCCTTCTCTGCTGCCACTATCGCTTGCCAAGATTACTCAGTATTACATACAAATATACAGATTAAAAACAAACAAAAAAACCCACAAGAAAATCTTATAAAAACACAGAGCTCGCCTAGAGTTTAGGCTTTTATATGAAAAGTACTGTAATATTTGAAAAGCCTGGGATAGCTCCACTGATCTGACTTCTCACCTAATAGCTTGTTCCCTCTGCGCCTTCCGTACTTCGGGCTTCTGGTTTCGCTTGGCCATAATCTCAGCCAGAGAGGCACCAGTGATGGCTCTCTGGAACTTCACGGCACGGCGCGTGCGCTTCTTCTGGACCTCTTCCTAAGAGGGCAGGAGACAGAGACAATTAGCATCACAAGATGTTAAATACGTGGCTAAAGACAATTACGAACACCTCTTCCTAAGAGGGCAGGAGACAAACAGAGACAATTAGCATCACAAGATGTTAAATACGTGGCTAAAGACAATTACGAAAACAAGCTGCTACTCAAACTGAAGCTGTTTGAAACTGTACACTATAGTAGAATTTTACTCCTCACTGTAGAGGATCCTCCTGTTGGGTACAGAGAAGTGCTGCCCCACCTCCACATGGCCCCTTCTCCACCCACATCCTGTACTTTTCACAGTGTGTTACTACCAACAATCCTTGGTTGGCTCCCCAGCTGTCCAGCTATCAGTGTTGGAGACACACATATTAGATAGACCCTGTATCTTCTACAGCAAAGTACAAAAAAAAGTATTTTAAAAGAATGTTAGAAGTTCCACCAGCTGTACCTCTCAGAAGAAAAAAAGGGGGGGAAGGATAAACCTTCAATGGTGTCTTCTGAAAGGAAAACACTCCACACCTATTGAAGTGGATCAGGTGCTGGGGAGCAGTGTAAGCCATCAACCAAACTGACAAGAACACAGATATTGCACTGATGTGGGGCTTTCCCAAAGCTCCTCTGCTGTGCAAGTTTAAACAAGAGCACTCCAGCATACCTCATGCTACATGCCTTCATGATTTATCCTTTTAATGCAATGACAGCTGCCTAGGGAAAGACCTCATGCTAAGCTACAGCCCAAAGTTTTCAAGGAGAGTATATCAGGAGTATCATCCCTGCCCCTCTAACCCCAAAATCAGCTCCCTGTGCTGTCACCATTGAGGAAGTTTACAAGTCCAAACTTCTATGAAGTATGCATATTAAACAGCATTTACCCACCTTCCCTAAAACTAACTTTTAAACACATGCCATTCCTACAATTATTAAGATCTACTGAACATACTGTGGCTCTGAGTGGTCTCTCAAAAAAGTGCTACAACACAATACAATGTTTTTGCTGAAGTGGTGTATAAACTCATGTAACTGCACTCACATTTTCACCATTATTAACTAGTCTTCATCCTGGTAACATGGGTCGTGCTTCTGCTGAACACTGGCACACTTAAGTGACCTCTAACAGACCATGGACCACATCTTTTGGTCACCAAATTCCAGTGCCATTAGCTGGCATGTACTTACTGACTGTCCCTTCTTGTGCTTACGCCTGTACAGAACAGTCCAGTTGATCTGACGAGGGTTTCTCTTGGAAAGGAATGCAGACTCACATTTTGCATTCAAGAACTGAAAAACCTGGGAAGGCAAAACGTTTTGTGTAAGCTTTGTTTCCATGACAGGCATTATCACAGTTTGCATTAAGTATTCTTTGAGTCAGTGTTTTTCAATATTGTTGTTTCTGGAGTTCTTAAATACCGCTCTGACTATTCAAAATTTTGTAAAATAATTCAAGAAATCTCAAGTTTTGTCTTCTGTTACATTGGTCAAACCGAAGTCTTGCAAGGGATTCTGAAGTATCTTCATTTTTCTGAAAAAAAGTTCAAATTACCACTTGCATCCAGTGCTGCTGTGTGCTTCAGGCACAGCATGAATAGCTGTGTCCAGCATCACTTTCCAAGTGTCTGTCCTCAAGCAACAATGTACTTCCTGTGTGTGGGAGGGACTCAAAACTTGGCCTAGGGAACACAGGGAGACCAATGCTCCACCCGATTCCCCCTTGCATAGTGACACTAACCCGTCTGTCTAAAACAACAGGCAGAATGTGCAAGCTGGTTTGTTATTAGCTATATAATTCCATTTAAAGTACAACCTAATTCTCAGGAGCGCTCACAAGAATTCAACCAGTCAATCTCCTGGTCATTTTGCTGGGAATTCCAGAGAGAAAGATGACTGTACTGGGACACTCAAAAGCACAGCCGTCCTTTCACAGGTAGGGACAACCCTGTCTGCGTATGACATGACAGCTTGAAAGGGCTCTCCACCCAATTTTACCTTAAAGATTTCTACTCACTTAATTTGGGAGACCAGCTGTTGGCTCCAGCGAATCTTAACATTTGATGCAGGACGTCTAAGCAGCATTTTCTACACAATTGTGGTACATTACACCAGCTTCTTTAAGACTCCTTTTGGAAACTGCATTCTAAAACCAAGCTACAGCACAGCACGGATCTCCTGCGGAGCAGCCACGGCACTGCACGCCGATGCTGCTTTCACACAGCTCGATACGAACGACTCGGGCAGACCTCACATCAGCACTACCGGAGCCTCCGGACAGTCCCAGAGGCGCGGCCCCCGCTCCCCGCGCACCGCCCGGCCGCTCTCCCGCCCGCAGGGCCCTCCCCTCCGCAGGGCCCTCCCCTCCGCAGGGCCCGCTCCCGCCCGGCCCCGGGGCTCGCCCCGGCCTCACCTTCCCGTCCGTGCGGGCGTAGCGGCGGCCATGGCCCGGGTAGATCTTGTACCCGCTGAAGCTGCACAGCTCGACCCTGCGCGGGAGAGAAGAGTTAGGGGAGGGCGCAGGTGCCCGGGGGAGGCGGCCGGGGCCCCGCGGCGGCCTCCCCGCGGCGGATGGCCCCGGATGGCGGCGGACGGGGCGCTCACTTCATGATGGCGGCGGCTGCGAGGGGCCGGAGAGGCGGAGGGCACGCCGGGAGGCGGTGTCGGCAGCGGCGCGCGGGGCCCGACGGGAGCCCCGGCCGCACCGCCGCGGCTTCACGGAGCGCTCGCCCGGCCGGGCTACCCCGGCGCAGCCCCGGACGCGGCACCCGCCGCTCTAGCCGGCATAAAAGGCGCGGCGCTGCCGTAGCGGAGCTTGTTCGGCCCAGCCCATCGGCGCTCGGTTGCCTGGCGGTGTTGTCAAGCGCGGGGCATGGCGGCAGCCGGCGCTGCGGCCAGGGCCGGGGATGAGGCGGCCGGAGCGGGTAAGGGCAGCCCCGGACAGGGGCCGGGGGCTGCGGGTCCGAAAGGCGCCGGGGGGCTCGGAGGGGTGCGGGGCCTCCTCTCGGGGCTTGGCTGCCGCCGCTCTCAGCCGGCCTCGGAGGGCCCGCGGGGCTGGGAGCGGCCGGGGCAGCGCGGGGCGAGGGCGGCGGCGCGGGCGGCGCTTCCCGCCCTCAGGAGCGCCTCTGCATCGGGGCACGGAGCACGGAGCGGCTGTCCATCGTGCTGGAGGGTCCCGCCGCCTTGTAGAACCTTTATAGGCGAGGATTTGAGTGATATAGAGCCCGTTTTCCCTAGAGGGGAGGGCTGAGAGGTCTTGGGGACAGGGCCACTTCTGAGGGTGTAGTTCCTTGGTCCCTGGCAAACGAGAAATAAGCAATTCTGAAATGTTTTCCTGGGCCCTGATATCCTATTAGGAAAAACTCGTTGCCCAGGTGTATCAATGAGTCTTTATAGAATGGAATCATATTAATTTTCTAGAGTTACACGTGTATATATAATTCATGCTGTGTACTGAACTGCCATGCATAAGCAAGCAAACTAAAGCTTGTT